AGGATGCTAAGTGCAAGGATGCACTTTTGATATGACTTGATATGAATTGATGCCTTTGCAGTTCCTGGGCACTAACTTCCAGAGGAGCCAGTGTGCTGCTGATGCCAGGATACTGCTTTTCCAGAACCCTGCAACAGGGGAAAAGCTTGGGAAGCAACAACCCTCAGAGGCTGGGAATGGAGTCCACATGGATGTTATCACTCTCAAACTTTGGAAAAGTTGGGGAGGAAACCAGACACCACCTTGGCCATTAAGAAAAAGAGTTCTGTTTTTCTAAGTTTTCAAAAACATAATCTTAAGGGTTTTATTTTCCAACAGTAGTGTTTGGCTAATAATCCACTTCAAAACTTATTTCAACACTTTAATGTAACTGCTAAGTCAGGGACCGCAGTCCTGATGCTCTGCAGAAAGCCTTATCCTTTCCAACACGTGCCATAACCTCTCAGCTAGGCAACAGCCTGAATAGATCTAAACTGCAACCAAGGAGCATGAGAAACAACAGGCGGGTCACAGCGAGGGTAATCCTTAAACACACCAGGCTATTCAAGGTCAAAGAGAGCTGACATCAAAAGCAGACTCATTAAAGTCACTTCGTCACTCAGGCCCATGCAGTATCATATTCCTCCAAAATTATTAGGTTTTGCATTGCTTGTATCTGAGCACCTGATATAAGGATATAGGATGACAAGAGATAAATAAATGAATGCCTTACACAAGAGATGGGAAGGCTTTCCACATTTCACCTGCTCTGGATATAAACTAGCTTCAAACTAATTCACTCCTCCTGATCTTAAAAAAGTCTTGATTGTATTTTAATTTTTAATTGAAAAGTTCCTTTAATTTGTTGCTTTTTGTTGTAATCATCGATGACATTTTTCAGATTCTGCATTTGATCTGAGTAATAAGTATCACATGACAAGTAACAAGTATAAATGACATATAACAGAAGTTTTCATTTCCACAATTTTGCTTTTTGCTCTACACTAAGCAAAGTCCAAGCAGGCAAAAAAATACCACACAAAATTAGCAAAGAATATTAAAAAATCCACCAAAACTCCATTATCCTCAACAGTTTGAATCGAGTCCAGAATGAATAAAATGGAGATGGAAAAATGTCCGGAATACAACTTAAATGGGGTTCAACTAGCATAACTCATCTGCAGCAGAGTCTAAAGGATGCAAAAACATCAACACTGAAATGATTTGTCAGAGGTACTTTAAAATAATCCGTTAAATAAAAGCTTTGAAAATGTATTCCCCCGAGGAACAGCAGCGTGCTATTTCAAGAAGCTTTTGTGTTCTGTGGTTTAGAGCTGCGTACCTTGCATATTCTCTTAAGAGTTTGTTAAGACATGTCCATAAAAAGAACTTGGACCATTACCATTATATGGTAATTTAAACAGAAATTTCTTGAGAATTCTTGCTCACTATAGAAAGACTGTAAGCAAAAAAAAAGATCGTTAAGATCTTTATCCATCACAGATACCCTGAAGAAACAGCCAGTCTACTCAACCTCCACATTATAAGCAGCATACAAAGAGGGACTCACCAAATTACTTGTGCTAAGAACAAGAAAAAGTTTAAGACTTGAAAGAAACTAAGTTGTAACGTGATTTTATTGATCAGTCACTTTCACATCTTTTGCAGACACAGTTTCAGAGGAGCGCCTCAGTGCCTGGCCCTGCTTCATCCCAGCTATCCCAGAGCAAAACTGGTCCAGTCCTTCTCAGTCTCCTCGTTACCTCCCAAAGTGCAAACGGCAGCAGCCAAAGCCAGGGATACAGGAAACAGTCTTGCCTCCATTCACATTCTGCTCAGTGAGCAATTGCTGCTAGCAATGGCTAGCAACTATCAAAACGTATTTTCAGCATAATCAGTAGAGAAAGGATTCCTTCGAAAGTCAGTGTACACATGCATGCCTTTTGTAGCCCTGCTATTGACAGTTATAAATGATAAATCACTCGTAATCACATGAATCACTTATCAGTGTTAAAAAAGCAGCCATTTTAGAGCAAACAGGAACATGTAGGCAAAAGACGTTGAAAAGAGAAGATTACAGCACATTCTAGTCACTTTTAATAGGCAATTCCACAGCTTAGGATCTAAAGTTTAAAAAATGCCATGATTATCCAGCCACCAAATCCTTCCTTCAGAGCTCAGCGAGCTTCAGTGACCCTGACGAGCCCAAGAGCCTCGGCATGGCAGAGGGGTAGATCCTGAGGCAGCCTAATCTCAGAAAATTAAAAGCTTTGAAGATTAAGAGCAGGACCTTGAAATGACCTAGAGAGCAAGAAGGAGCCCTGCGGTCGCGGTGGCTGCTCCCAGCTGCCGAGCCCCAGACGCCCTCGGCCACCAGCTCCAGGGCAGGAGCGTCGCCGCGCTGGGCCCTGCTCGCCGCAGCGGGGACACATCAAACCCGCAGCTTGCCAGAAACCTCTTGTGGAAACAGATATTACTGATTTCATTTGCTACCCTATTATCCGGAGGGGTAAAGAAAGAAATGTTCTAGAAATAGCACAAGATTTGCATTTATTCTGAAGTGATAATGTTATCGTGACTTGGGTAGGCAAACTAGCTAACAAATTGCTAAATTGCTGCTGCTTCTTGTTTACCTTCCTTCCATTATCTCTTGAAACATGAATAGAAACAGGATGCGGAAATTCAGATGAAATCTGTCCAGTATCAGAAATACTAATTTCACTGCATGTCACAGGCTAGATTCCTGCAAAACACCTCAGGACAACTCTTACCTTTTTTACAGTGCCATAAACACTAACTTGCTTGTCATTTCTCAAAATGCCAACAGCTTTGCAGAAAAGGACCTGAAAAGTCAGGTGCCCCCCTTACTTCTCTTTCTGCTTGACCAGTACCTCCTCCCTCTCTTCTCCATTTGTACTTCTCTGAGCTGCATCGCAGTGCAGCCTAGCAAAGCTTTGGATACAACCCTGTGCCCTGTGCTCTGGGTGTCCCTGTGACTCACACAATCACAGAATGGTTGAGGCTGGAAGGGGCCTCTAGAGCTCATCTAGTCCAACCCTCTGCTCCAGCAGGGACACCTAGGGTGGCATCCAGGCAGGTTTTGAAGACCTCCAGAGAAGGAGACTCCACAACCTCCCTGGGGAGATGGGAAGGGGGAACGGAACAAAAGAAGCAACAAGAAAGAAACCACATCAACACTCAAGTGCCGGGTCACGGGGCAGCCCCGCAGGATACGTGCGCGCGGGGGTAACGCACAGGCACTGCGCTGCCCGCACCGGTGCTGAGGTTGGCACCGGGCACCCAACCACTCGCTGGCCCCTGCAGCAGCGCACACCTACTTCCTATTTCCCTATAGGAACCGTAGGTGGGTTTCCTATTGACCCACCGCGAGCTGGGGGCAGTTCAAAGAGAAATGGAGGGGAGGTTTGCATGACAATGCAAGCAGAATAAATATGCAAATGAATTAATTGCTTAACTGATGACAGATTTCACTTTTAAGAGGAGACTTGCACACACGCACAAAAAATCAAAATATGCTTTTGTGCACTGGAATGGAGCAGACATAACTCCAAGAAACAGTTTCAAGTGCTTTTTTCCTAGCGTAGCTACCACAAACAAAAACTGAAATGTTTTGGAAAGAATTTGTATCATTGATTATAATGACAATATGTCTACAACATGTAATATGCCTAAAAGAAACAGAAAGCAAAACAATCTGAAAGGCAGCTTGAAGTTTAAGGTGAGATATCTGGCAAGAAAGGCATCTACCAGTCTCTGACTTTTTAATATCAGAGTGATGTCACTGGGTATCAAAGGCAATGGAAGTATGGCACAGACATCAGTAAAAAAGAAAAGAAAATGTGACCTGACAACTTGATCACACATACCAAGTTATTTCAAAACTGTAAATCTGTGTTTTCCTCAAAAGAGGAAAAGATTTCACGGCCTTTACTTCAGCTAATTAAGGTAAGTCAAGTAAGTACCTATCACTCATTTATACACAAATGACAAGAGTCGCTGCAAACCTACGACTAGACCACCTTACAAACTGCATGCTCCTACTGCGAGGAATAAAATACATTCAAAGAGTAGAGGCTCAGCGCAGCTGTACTGGCTACTATCAGCTGCAGAATCCTCTCTGTAACTTAGGGCATTTCTAACACAACAGTTCATCTTCCGAATGTTAGCAAAATAAACGACACTGGTTCATATGAAATGGACATGCCCAAATGCACACACCTGAGTATCTATAACATACTAATTAAAATTCTTGGCAGCATTTACTGGATGCAGCACTGAAACATAAAGCTAACTGTAAGGTTCCTGTTTCACAACATTGTATTCTTCAGTGAAACAGTTTAAATATATAAGAAGAATTAGTCAAACAAACAAGACAGCTGTTGCCTCCAGAACATGAGAGATTTGGACATGAAAAGGAGAGGAGCCATTAAGCAAAAGAGATGCATCCTTTAGCGTGAACAAGCCTTAAGCAATTTAGGCTGCAGTTGCTTTCCTTTGGGCACAGCTTGCTTCCTCACACACATACAGCCTATGCCAAAACACGCCCACACAATTGGTTACAGCCACTGAATCCCATACAGCAGCCAGAAGGGCACAAATAGCTCTAAATTGTTCACTTGTATTTTGAATGAAAAAAATCTCATAGAAGACCCAGAAAATGTCATGCTAAGATCAAATATTTGTAAACATACATGTTCTCCTTTTTTTTTTTTCTCCCCACTTCAGAGGTGGTTCTGAAAGCTCATTATATCACAATAGTTAAGAAATGAATCCTGACAGATTTATAATGCACCATCTTTTTACAGAAGCTGTAAGAGCAAACATAGATGTAGAACCAATAAAACCCTTAACTAGAAAGGGGGAAGACATGCTTACACACGTAAAATATTTTATCTTTTCCGTCTGGCAGCCTGAATGTACCTAGTTAACCAAAGCCCTCAAAACCTCAATAATTCCAGACCATATGCTTATTCCCCTAAATTTAATAAACATTTACTTACCCAGCATCCTCTTGGAAACCTTCCAACTCATCTCGTTGTTCTGCTAAGGTGGATTCTAAATCCAGATAGGTGCCGTTGTGAGACAACTGCAGCGTGCAATCATCAAGCTGTAGAACAAAATTCAAAAGTTCAGATTTGGGCAGTAACTCTCTCCAAAATACAGTAGCTTTCTCATTTTCAAGGTCCCCAGAAAGGGTCTCCTTAAAATAAACTACATGTAAAGAAAAGAGTACAGGAGGAGTGCACTTTTATGCAATTTAATGTACTACGAGCTCAATTCCATAGTCAATAGATAATGCTTGGCCACAACAGTATCAACATGACTAATAGAGCAAATTATTAATCTGAAGGTATAATTTTAGAGTTTTATCGCTGTGTTTTTGGATGCCTCTAAGGAAAAGAGGCTTAAATTTATAGCCGAGATATGGAAGCCTCTCTGTTCTTAGCTTGCACAGTATGTATAAGTATGTATATAGTATACATAGTATGTATAAGTATATATATAAGTAAGTATAAGTCTGTATAAGTACGTATAAGTAGAGTTTATAGGCCTTGCATAGAGGTGGACAGAAGCAGCAGTTGTTTTGCGAGCTACTAAAAAGCCTCCTGAGAGTAAAAATGTGACCAAGTTAGTGCAGGCCAACAGCAGCCAAGAGTTCAGATCCTGCAGCAGGGAAGATCTACCAAGCCTCAGATTTTTGTCATTCTCATTTCAGACCCAGGTACTAGCTTGCCTCAGGGCACAGGTACCAACTTGCTATAAAGGCACCAAGGTTCGTAAACAGCCACACCTGAAATGGAGAAGCTGTCCGAAAAAGCAGAGAGATTTGTTTGAAGTTTAAGAAAAAACAAGCAAAGTAGCTCCTTTTTTTTTTTTCTTTTTTTTTTTTTTTCCTTTTTTCTCTCGTTCTTCAGGAGTAGGTCTAGGAAGATCCATGAAAAAAAAAATCTGACCAACTTATCATGAGGAAATGCAAAATAACTGCTAGACTGAGTGGGGTAACTCAAGAAGCCCAAGGGAAGAACTAGGAAGTAACATAAGCTCCTCTCTCACCATATGGTAACACAGCATCAAATCACAAGGAATGAGGAAAAAAAAAAAGCCTTTGCAGGGCCAAGGAAACAAGAAAATATTTACCAAAGGGTAGGTGAAAGTACAAGGTGTCCTAAACTACTGCCAGGAAAGGAGTGGCCATCCATCCCCAGGGAAGCCAGGCCAGAAGGAGAGGAACCACCATCACCACGGCCAGTTTAACAAGCTACTATGGTCCTTTGTTGTTAAAGGTGAAGATCTCCAATGTCTGTGGGCTCATTTCATAATGGCTTCCAAGTTCAAAAACATAGTAATTCCCAAAGTATTGAATCTACTGGATCTAAAATCTAGTTTGATAACAGAACAGCCTCACAGCGACCTGCCAAACAGAAGATATTTCATTCCTCTGGATCTGACAAAACAAGGTGACAGGTTCTTCACATACATCTATCCATGGTTGCAAACACAAGTATTATAATGGAGGTACAAGTCATGTTACAAGGGTCACTTTGAGGAGAATAATTATTACAGCACTTAATATAACCCCTTCGCCACACATGGCAATCTATGACTCTTTCAGTAGGTAGCAACGGACTGAAAGTCTATGACTCAAGGAAATTACATCTCTATCTAAAAATAATAATAATAATCAGCAGGATTCCCTGATTTTGATGAACTAACCAATTTAACTTCCCATGAAGGTGATGGGCTCCCAGTAATCCTTCAGTTAGTCACAATATGAAGTCACACTGATGTTTGGAAGTCAATACTAAGATGTAGCTTCCCAGTTCCCCGCCTCTGACCTACATGTATACACAAGGAAAGACCATAGTTCTAGGATGGTTATTCTGGATCATCCAATTTGGAAATACTGCAGAAGAATCTGTTCACATTAAGCAACGGATAGAGAGCAGCTTTTGAGTTACTCCACATTAACTGTGCTTTCTCCTGTTCACGGTTTGAAAGAAGACATCATCTTCAGGAGAAATGGAAATGGTGGAGGGAGTAGGTAAACCTACTCCCAGGCAGGTAAAGGTGGATTTCAAACTTCCTCAGGTTTTCTCTCCTTTTTTTTGTAGGGAAAGAGTATTTATATGCAAATAGTGCAACGTAAGTTTTTATGCTAGGGATTAAAGAGAGAAAAGAACCTTGAAGTGCAACCCTCTGATATTACAACACTGTTACTATTTTGTATCTTTATGATTATAAAGGATATTATTAACCTAAGTTAAACTCAAAATAGACTCTTCAGTGAAGACAGACTAAATATTACTCTGGGAAACTTCTTCCCAGTAGCCTGGGATATCAAATGAAATGCTAATTTATTCAAAGCAATGCCAAAAGGCAAACTACTAATTAGATAAATGTTCTGCTCTCACTATGGAGATTGGGAGATTTGCCCATAATTTCCAATTATACTGCATAATAAGGGGAAAGGAACTGTGTTTTACTAATATGTTATGACTTTAGTCTATAAAAAGCACGATGAGAACAGGAAGTACCTAATGTACAAGATAAAGGAAAATAGTACATTCTATGTATTTTCATCTCATCTCCATAGTTTCAGCTGAACAGAGTATTCATTCATGCTTTAAAGCACTCATACAATGCATCCATTAACAGGAGTTATGGCAAGGAGAGAAACTGAATTTCAGTACCTTAACACTGAGCGATGCCAAGATTTTTTTTTCTTGTGGGTTTGCATGTATAGAGATGGGAGGGAGCAAAACAATACCTCTGAAAGGAACAGATGGCAGCAAACCATCTATAGTCTAAAGCTATCCTTCTCTATATAAGCTCACCTTTCCCCTCCAAACTTCAATTGCACTCATATTTCACAAGGAGAATACAAAGAGAAGGTACCTGTGAATACTTTGAACCAGCAAATTGCCCATCTTTAAAACACCAATGATGCGTAAGGTTCACTTATCAGTACTCATTATTAGCAATTCAATATTTAGTTCATTCTCCTCTGCGCCATGTTGTCACATGTTTTATTTGCTACTCATCACTTCTCCCAGTCTCTGGAGACTCTCAGAAATGGCACCCATTTAGTTCATCCAAGACATGCAATCCGATTTAATATAATTCATATTAAAAACTTCATTACCACCCCATCTCCCTACAGAAAGGGCAGAAGTCAGAACACAAAGACAGCTATTCAAAAGCAAACAAGCAAAAACATACCAACAGTGCTATTTTCTATAATCACGGGCAAGATGGATATTCAACTCAAAATTCATTGCATTTGCTTCACTTCATTCTCGACAATTTTTTCCCTCCTGGAGTACTGCGTCCAGTTCTGGGCTCCCCAGTACAAGAGGGATGTGGAGCTGCTGGAGAGAGTCCAGCGCAGAGCTACCAGGATGATCAGAGGCCTGGAACATCTGCCCTATGAGCAAAGGCTGAGAGAGCTGGGTCTGTTCAGCCTGGAGAAGAGAAGGCTGAGGGGGGACCTGATCAGCGTGTATAAATACCTCAAGGGAGGCAGTGAGGAGGAGGGAGCGGCCTCTTCTCAGTGGTGGACAGTGATAGGACTAGAGGAAACGGCCACAAGCTGAGGCACCAAAAGTTCCACAGGAACTTAAGGAAACACTTCTTGACAGTGAGGGTGACAGAGCCCTGGCACAGGCTGCCCAGGGAGGTTGTGGAGTCTCCTTCTTTGGAGATCTTTAAAACCCACTTGGATGAAGTACCACGTGCTCTAGGTGACCCTGTGTGAGCAGGAGGGTTGGACTAGATGACCTCTGAGGTCCCTTCCAACCTTCAGCATTCTATGATTCTATGAATTCAGCTTAGCATTTTGTTATTCAACTGCTTAGCCACTTACTATTAACATAACGGCAGATTCACCAAAATGTTTTCATAAGCTTACTTCTAATAACTCTCTCGCTAGTGCCTTCAAATTGTCCTGAAGAGCCAAAAAGTTGATATATTAAAAAAAAAAAAAAAGATATAATGCAACTCATACAACAAACTTTATAAGAATTGACTATTTTTCTACAATCACATTAAAATACCACCACAAGCGTTGTGATATTATGAACAGTGAGATGAACACTGATTATGAACACTCAGATTATGAACACTGCCAAACAGGAACAACTGTAGTGCTACCTTTTCAGGCAGAATTCCTCCCTTTTCAAAGCTTCCTGCAACATTTCAACTTTTTTTTCATTTCAGCTCAAGTATCAAATCAGAAGCATGCAAGCATTTGGATTACATTCTCATCTTCTAAAATTTTCAGCCCCTAAAAAATACACTCATTGCATTTTTTTCCTTGAGTTATCCATGGATATTCTCTAGCTCTATGAAAAGTATGTCTATTTAGATATAGTGCCTTTCACAGAAATCATGGAGCTGCTTGCAACCACACTGAGCTAAGTGTGGTTCACACACACACACACACACACACACACACACACACACCAGTCTCTAAGTCTTGTGCACAAGGCAGCAAACAGAAGTCATTAAGATATGCTAACAATTACAAGAAAAAAAAAAAAAAAGAGCAGATTTTATGTCATGGGCAACAGTCATCAGAACAAAAGTTTTAGGTGGGATCATCATCAGTGGCTGGAGAGCAGTAGCAGCAACTGTTCTTGCTTCACGTTTCCATGAAAGTAGAAAGGAAAATAAGACAGTCTTTTTGCAAGTATTCCTTACTCAAAATTTAGCCATTATGCTGATTATCATTTTTGGTGTACATTTAAACTCCAGTGAAACATGAAGAGCTGCATTCTGCCATGACAGATTAGTTATCAAAAAGCAGCAGTTGCTGCTGATTTCCTGATATGTGGGTGTGCTTTGGACAAAGAGAACTCAAAAGCCAAGGTGGCTCTTGCCTGGCTTGGATGAGCAGAGGAACCCAGCAGGCCCCCAGGGCACTAGGGGCAGAGCTGCTCACCTCCCTAAGGGGGAAGGATGGAAAAGCCACTTGAGGCAGCACGGAGCTCACCAGCTCCTCACCAATTTTCCGTAGCTGACTACAAACATAAAGACAATAAGAGAACAAAATGTTTGCACAGATGTTTGCCAAGACAACAAAATGTTTGCCTGAGATGCAAAAAAAAG